ACTTTCATTAAAATTCAAGCAATATATTTTTAATATTTAGCAATACAAATGTTTATTTTAAAATTTATCAGGTAATGATAAGAAAATTTATCATTATCTGATCCATTTAGATTAAAATCTAATAAATATTCTGTTATTGGTTTGTTTATTTATTTATTTTCTGTTACATATTTTTCATATTTATAAAGTCAGCTTATAAAGAAACTTGGTAAATGATTAAATATAAAAATATAATTCTTTAAACAAACTTAATGCTTCTTATACACAAAGACTATTTGAATCACTTTCAGTACTATAAGTATCATTTAAATAATTATTAATGGTAATATAAGAAAATGATTTTAAAAATTAAACGATCATAGCAGTACCAAAAATATATTTAATATTACTTTATACGTGAATGTCGATTATTACTGGTTACCAGTTGTAATCAAATTTTATTCAGTTCTGTTGAAGACATTCAAATAAAAAATATGCCATAAAAGTATTTCATGAGATTTTTAAAAAAGCCATTATATACAATTTTTTAAAATTATTATTGAATTTTCCTGAACTTTCAAAAAAAAAAAAAAATAGTAAAATGTAAAGTTGGCTCACCACATTATCTTTGAGAAAACTATTTAAAAAAATCAACGTTTGAAAGTGCATTACAGAAGTATTTCATTGCATTTAAAATGTAAAAACCACAATGTTAAACTGAAATGATATATATATATATTCTCACCTGTTTAAGAACATATTTAAAATGTGTTGTTAAACATTAGTTTTTTATTTTTTGCTTTTTTAAATCATTAATTAATGAATATTAGTGGTTATCAGTTTAACAAATGTAATCATTGTTAAATTGATAACCACTAACATTCATTAATAATTTGTTATATTTTAATAATAATCAAGTATTTGACAAAACAACAAAATGTCATACAAAGAATAAATATTTTTTGTTTTGATTTTTATTGGTTTATCTTAATCATTTCTTGATTTAGATTTTGTTAGACATGTAGTCATACTAATTACAGTGGAATTTTGTTGAATTGTTCCTGTTACTTTTGTTTTCTTGCATATGATTGATTGATTTACTTATTTAGTCTCAGAACTAGTTCCATATAAATAACATTATTTTTTTCCCTATCTCCATCAATCATTGAAAAATTATAATCCTAATCAACATTTCCTGCATTGATAGTTTTTGTAAGATTTAAAACAATGATTTAGTAGTTAATATCTGATGATTTTGAGTGAATTCAAAAACTTGATGCTGTCTGAATATACCTTGCATTCTTTAATGACACCTGGATTGCCTGTTATGTGTTGAAAAATTGAGCTGTCGTTTACAGCTCTCCACCATATTGTTGAAAATATATTTAATTTATAAACAAATATCAGAATGAGAAAATTGTGTTACTTTTATCATTTTGATTTTCTGTGAGATTGAAATGTGTGTATATTCTTGTACCAAGCTGTGTGAGAGTCTCCTGGTATCTGGGAATATGGAGGGGGAGAATAAGAATATGGCAAACCAAAGTTGTGCTGAACTTTAGCAAAGCACAAAGCATTCCTGAAAGCAAAATCTTTCCTTTACATGCACATCATGAGTGAATGTGATTGTGAAAACATTATAGACCTTGAAAAATTAGACCTTAAATGGAGGCATAAAGTTTGCACAAAACAAATACCAATCAAATGTTTCTTCAGCAAGAATTAGTGTTTTAAATGCAGTGTAATGTTGTATCATATATTTCAAAGAATATAATAATTAAATTGTATTCTTACTGATAGTTTTGAATGTTGATTGGAACTGTATTTCTCATTACCATTTCCTTTTCCATTTCAAATTGATACATTGAGGTTTTACTATATTATTTCTTTTAAACTGATATGTAATGTAGAAAAGGAATTAACAACACTTTTGATTTCTTTGTAATACCATTATTCAAAATACATATCCCTAATCTCTAGAATGAAATGACTTAAATAAAATAATTTCATTCAGATATGATTTTTTTATATAATCATATTTGAATGAAATTATTTTTTTCTAAAGATATATCTTAATGTTACCAGTATGAATTTCAAATAAAATTGATTAATTAAAATCTTTGTATTCAAGATCTAACACTTTCTGACATTCTAAAAAAGATGTTTTATAATACAGTTAAATATAAGGAAATCACAAATATAGGCTTGCATTAGTTTAAAAGTCACTAATTTATATCTAATTAGGAAAATGATGCATTTTATTCAGCTATTTAAAAAAATGTTGTTTTTTTAATCATCTATGTTATCTACCACATCTATGTTATTTTGTGTTAGCTGAAAACAATATAGGTATTATTAATAACCTATAATGTTTTCAGCTAATACAAAATAACATAGATGTGGTATATCAATATCAAAAAATTATTATTTAATATTTAAATTAGAATAAAATATTAAATAATAAACTTTTGATATTTTGAAAATACATAAAATTAATTGAAAATATTTTGTCAATGTTGCATATCAATTTCTTTACTTAAACTTGTTCCCTTGTTCATCTTCTAAAATTAAAATTTAATTAAAGTCTTCCAAGAAAAATTCTACCATTTTTAAATTACTGTAATTATGAATTGAGAAGTATGCATGCATTCTACACAATTGATAAAGTAACTGTTTGAGTTTCAAGTGTCATCTGCATTCAAATGTCTTTTTATCTACTACCATAAACAAAAATGATGACTTCACAACAGAGAATTCTGTGTTCTGCAGTTCTCAAACTCAGAATCAACTACTATTTTGCAACAAGAATGTTTGCCTAAAATTTTCTGCAAAAGACAATTTCAAAGTGGTCCACTATGACTGATTCCAACTTTGCAAACTGCTCTCTCTGTTGCAAGTTGCCATTTTTGTTTGTGGCATTTCCTAGAGGCAGTAGACAAAAAGACGTTTTGAAAGTTGAATATTTACTCTATCAATTAATGTACAGTGTGTAATTCTCACATAATAATTAACATAATTATAGCAATTTAAAATGGAAGCATTCTTTTTGGAAGACCTTGTATATATATATCCATACCTGCTGCTGCTTTTTAACTTATACTTAGTTTTTTTTTCTAATCAAGAACATGCTGAATACAGAGTAATAGTCATAATGGACTGTAAATTAGAAAGTTGTTGTAAGAATATTTGATAGTTACTATTATATGGATTATTTATACTTTACGGCCAGATACTTAGAAGGGACTCTTAACTTGGCAAATGCCAATATGCATATGTATATAAATTTATGTAGGTAATTTATATCTGTTATAAGTGTAGTGTATTGAGGATTATAATAAAAATATATTTGTAAACATACAAATATACTTGTACTAATGAAAGTAACATTGAAACTTTGACTAGTTTATTTTGTATATTTCATTATTAAACATATTGATTCCAAGAAGCATGAAGTTTGATTATACATATTGTGATGCAGCTTGTTTAGAATAGGAATAACGGAATCACTAAGTATTCATAAAACTAACATTGATCAAAATTATATAGCATTGAATATATGTATTTTTTTTAATAATTTTATTTCTGATTTTAAAACACTCTACTAAAGTTTAATAATAAGTTTAAATGAATTGAATTTGATTATATCTTTTAAATTATTCATTAGTATTTTATGGAATTAAAATTGTTTAAAAAATGTAAATATATTAATTAATGCTAGTATTAAATAATTATTGTGTATGATCATTTACTAAGTTTACATTTGTATGATCATTTACTAAGTAAACACACATAATTTCCTCATACAAATTATATCCAAAAGAAACAATTAATTTTAAATTTACTTTTTATAAAATATGATTTAATATAACAAAAAGTAAATAATAAATAACACATCTTTTTCAGTGACAGTTGAACTATCTTACTGAGAGATCTTTTGTTACTCAAAAAAAAATATTTGCTTAAAATAAATCAAATTAATACAAATTTGTTTTTTGCAGTTTCATTATTCATTTTTTAAGTGAAGTGAATTTAGCATTTTCTTTTCTCTTCTTTTAGGAAGATCTTTGGAAAAGTATAATAGACTGCACGAGGAATTATCATCTATAAATTTTTTTTTCTATTTTTTATTTTTATCACTTAATACTATTTCCAAAATAATTCTTTCTCTTTATATTCAATTTTTGTCTTTAATTGTGTATGTATTTTTGTTATTTAGTGATATTTATGATATTTTTTATTACAGGATATATATGTTGCTGAAAAATATAAAATTCTTAACATGAGAGTGTGTTTTTGATTCAATAACATTTTCAAACATTTCATTTATTTCTATAATTATTATGAAAATTATTTAATTTCTTTATTTGATAAATTCATCATTTATATTTTTTTATTATATTTTAGCATTAATAATAGAAAATTTTAAAGAGCACATCACATAAAATTATTATTATTCTTAGTATGAATATTATTTTGTAATTACTATTTTTGTGTATATGATTTTAATATAGCAATGTAATAATACATTCATTAATGTCACCATTACAAAATTTGAGCAATTAGATACAAATTATTTGTCAAATTATTTTTTTTATCATTTTAATTATCCTTATTTTTATTTTTTAATTCCCTTGTCAAGAAGTTTCAAATAGTAAAAACACACCAGCTATGCACCCAAGGTAATTTCTCTTGTCAAATTGCTTGAGTCATTGGCATGTTCAGCACCTTCTCATGCAATGTTTGACAAAAGAAACGAAAAAAAATTGAACCATTCTGACATAGTCATGTGGCTTCATTTACATTTTTTTTTATTTTATTTTGGGTGCATGATTTGTTAATGAATGAACGAATATTCTCACAACCGTTAAGTTTGGTGACAGTAATGTTTTTCTCTTTTAAATGCCATATTTAATGGCTCATGATTTTGCCTTATATGTTTGTTTGTTTATGAGTTGTCTTTGCTTTTTTTCTCTCCTTTTTTGCTCCCCGTCTCGTCTCGTTCCATCTCCCTGGTAACGTAGCCATAACAATTGGTCGCCTTGGTTACGTATGTCCTGAAGAAGTCGCCCCTATGTTACAGCAGTTTATACGCCCGTGGTGTGTAAATGTTTTTTTTATTTATTCTTTTTTGGTACTTTTTTCTCTCTTCTCATGTATTGAGATTCTTGTTTTATAAGTTTTAGGAACCAAAAACAATCTCAAAAAAGTAAACAATTATTTTAGGATTAGACAATTTATAAATTTTAATTTATTAACTTTTTTTGCTTCTCTTTATAATATACAGTGTGCAACTAATATACAACCAAATTGAATTAATTTATTTATTTTATTTATTTATTTTAAATTTTTTGACTTAATTCTCATATGTCAGTTCTGTAACTGCATTTTGCCTATGTTGTCTAACATTTCCTGCTTGTATTATAATCAACATAAAATTTAAAACAAAGACAAAAAAAAGTTCCCCATGTGGAACTGAATAATGAAATTAATAAATTAAAATTATTGTTTTTTTCTCAACCTTGTTGAAATTGAAGGTTGAATAAGCCCAAACACCTTATAACTGATTATTCATTTATTTTATTCTTGTTTTCACTAAGGTCTGCTCAGTGGAATAGTTCATATACAGAAAAGTAAAAAAATATACTTTTTAATTTTTTTTTATTTATTTAACTTAGAAGTAGTTATTAGAAAAAGTACTTAATGACATTTTTTATGATATTTGCAAAGTAATGGATTTAATAAAGGTAAGAGCAATAAGAGGAAATAATTACTATTATTTATTAACTTTATAATTTTTATAATTTATCCATTATTTAAATATAAGTATGAATAAATAGATATTAAATATTTCTAAATAAAAAACTCAAATAAACAACAAAATTATTGCATCAATTTTTTGATACATTTATAAATTTAAATAAATATTACTTATAATTATTTTTTAATGTTTTCACTAAATATATTATTTTTGTTTATAAATCATCATATTTTAATAATAATCTTTTTTTTCCTATCAGATATTCCCCATTTAAATGAAATAAAAATTTTATTATTATAAAATAAATTTTTCATTTTTTTTATTTATATTATTAAAATATATATCCTTTACTATACTGATTGGTTTCATTTTATATTCACAATATCATCACATTTATTGTGTTCTATTTAAAGTAATTTACATCGTCAAACTATTATATGTTTAATTAAGAAATATAAGTAATTATAATAATTAAGAATTTTGTATAACTTTACAGGTATGTTAAAATTATCAAAATGTTTAGATTAATATTGAATAATCAAATTCTGAGACAATTAAATTCACTATTAATGAATACATGCAAGTTACAGAAGCCAATAATATATTCATATGTTATGAACTGTAGTCAAATATCTCTTTATGGATCATTTGCCTCAATAGTTAAAATAAAACAACTGAAAAACTGAATTCAATAATTTATTTATCTTGCCAAAGTTAATTGTGTTGGAATTTATTTATATACATATATCTGTTTTGATCTCTTCCTAAATTATTATTCAAGTTCCAGTTATTTATTTTATATTCTATTCAAACTTAATGATTCCTTTAATTACTATATTTTCGAGTTTGTCAGCTTAAATGAATAGCATTAATAAATATTAATGAACATACATTAAAGTAGGTAATAATTATGAAAAGAATTCTAATTCGATTTTGTAATAATTCTGAAATGTTGGAAGTTAAATTATAATATATAACTTTAATTGCATTTATATACATTAATTTTACATAGTGTAACATTTTTCTTTAGATCAATTTAATATTTTAAATTTCTATTAACATTTTAGCATTTACCTCCTTATTTAATAATAATTATTTTTCAAATTTAAGAAAATTTATTTTAGCAAGAAGAATAAATCAGTCCTCATTTAATATACTGAAAATTGATAGAACTATTGATGTGTACATATATACATCAATAGTTCTATCAATTTTCATCAACACTGTCATTAAAAGCTAACTCATTTATATATAAACATATATATATGAGTTAACTTTTAACGACAGTGTAAAAAATAGCATTGCACTACAAATTAAGAAATCATCAAATAGTTTTGTATTTGATTGGCTATTCTGCAATTAATTATACAGAAGACAGAATTGAATTGTTAAGAATGTTAGCTTAAATGATTTAAAATTAATACTATCAATAGTTCTATCAATTTTCATCAACACTGTCGTTAAAAGCTAACTCATTTATATATAAACATATATATATGAGTTAACTTTTAACGACAGTGTAAAAAATAGCATTGCACTACAAATTAAGAAATCATCAAATAGTTTTGTATTTGATTGGCTATTCTGCAATTAATTATACAGAAGACAGAATTGAATTGTTAAGAATGTTAGCTTAAATGATTTAAAATTAATACTATCAATACAAACTGGTTACTGTCCAACTATGGATAAGAGAGTCCCTCTAGACATCCTGTGCATTGGCAAAAAAAAAAAAAAAAGACGGATCTATTATGAAAATAAGGAGGTCACTTCAGAAAATAAGTTAGTTTACATCAATAATCAAATTTACAAATTAAATTAGAACTTAATTAATAGCCATCATATTAAAAATTTACTTTTTAGTATCTATACTTATTACTTTGGATAAATTGCTTGCAAATAATATTAAATACATTGTGAATAATGCATTTGCTTTGACTTTGAAATTGTTTTCCTGAACTTGTAGATGGTATCTGATCCATAATCAAATTAATTCAAATGTGCACTATTGCAAAAAAAGAAAAATGATAAACTATACCTCAATGGCAATGCTTAACAATGCATACTGATTTGCATTTGTTTTCCTTTCCTCACCCATCATGGAAATAGACCATTCCTGGAAATCTTCTAACTGGGGCTTCAAGATCTGTGGTCAGACAGTAATATTTTTGTTTTGTTAAACTTCTATATATTTACTTATTATTTTAGTTAATAACCAATTTTTAAGTTTCAGGTAGAAGTATTGAGTTTTATTTTTAAGCATACTTCTTTTTTTATTATTATTTATTTACTTATTCTGTTTGACTGTATTATGGTAACTAGATGTTTTACCATTCTCAGAGGGTTGATCTGGAGGTTTCAGTAGTACAAAGTAAATGTTTTTCCTAGTGGAATCATGAGTTTTAGGATGGTTAGTATGAAGTTTGTTAGACTCTGCTAATACAATAGATGAAAGTTAGTTAGCATTTTAATAAGTATCCCTATTTTGAATAAAAATAGTAAACTTTGAAAAGTAATCAGAAATTTGTGAAAAAAATCTCAGTTATAAGTTTCAAAAATCATCATTTAATTTTATTCAGAAACTAAAACTCTGATCCCTTGTAGATATCTGTTTTCTGTAGATATTTGCAGTTTTCAAAAAAGTTGTTCTTAAATATAATAGTGAAGATAGCTATGCCTTGGTATTGATCCTGCATAGTATTAAGCACCAGCATAAGATTGATAGGATACAATATGTCAACATAATAATAATATATTGAATGCATGTCATATTGTTAGGAAATTCCTGAATACCCAGACACTTATTTAATTTTTTTGTTTTGTTTTGGTTGCTGTGCCTTGACTCTGGTTCGGCATAGTACACATCAACCAGTGTCAATCAAATAAAACCCACTACACTCAACATAATAATAATAACTATATAACACATCAATTCTGGTTGCAAGCTCTTGGCACAGACAGATTATTTACACAGACATAATCAAGTAGCAAATATAATACATCAAGAGCTTGCAAAGAAACACAAATTATTAGGCATCTATGAACCATACTACAAATACATTCCCCAGACAGTATTGGAAAAGAAAATGTACTGTGACAGAGACATAATCACAGATAAAACAATTTACCACAACAGACCAGACATCTCATTGATAAACACAATAAAATCACTTACATTATAGACATATCTGTTCCAAACACAGTGTACAAAACACATGCACTGAATAAATTAGCAGGTACACAGAATCTTGTGCAGGAAATAAGGCATCTGTGGAGGATGGATAGAGTGCTTATTGTACTATGCTTATCATTCTCTCCTCTACAGGTATCATACCCCACACACTATACAAAAGCCTAATTTTTGTAACAAAAGTACACTATTTATTTTACTCTTTTTTTTAAGACTGAGTATGATAATAATTCAAATCATATTGTGCTATTTTTATAGTTGATAATATAGTATTATTTTTTGAAAAAATTAAATTAGTTTGTATGAAAATAAAGAAAAATTTGAATGAAGATGTATAGAGTGAAAAATTGACTAAATTAAAACTTTGCTTCACAGATAAAAATAGTATATAAAAATTATTATGATGAGTTCTTAACTAATAAGATGTTTATAATTTATCTTGCTACAAAATTTCAAGTCTATAAAATTACTTAGCTGGAAAGATAATTTAGGATAATAATTTGATAACTATTGGAAAATATTATGTTGGCTTATACAGTCGACCCCCCTATAAGATAGAGATACGTTCCATTCTCTAGGAATCCGCTTTCTTACGAATCCTTCCAATCACAACCCGACACGTATCAAGTTTACGGACTACGGCTGTTTGAAAGATTTTCTTCCATAAAATTAATCGATTCTAGACTAATCCGACTCAACATTTCCAAAATACGTATATATTTTTTGGGAATAATCCGTATAAACTACGCTATAAACAAAAAATTGTAGGATTACTTACCGAGTGTCACCATTCGACATTGCCATTGCTCAACATTGTTTTCGTCGCGGAACAGCTCAGCAAAGAGCGGCCGATTTCTAACAACTTATTTTTCTGTGAAAACTTCGTAGAACTTCGGAGACATCATTAATATAAATAATTTTAATCGCCGTTGAATAAGAAATGTTTCTTTCACAAGAAATGTATAAAATTACAGTACTGTATTAGACTTACGGTACCTAATTTACATACTGACAGACGATAGTTAGCGTAAAAATCTCCGTAGCGTGGCGCCACGCTAGACGGCGGAAATTATATATTTAATTATAACAAAGTTACAATAAGTTAATATATAATTATATATACAGTACCTAATTTATATATAATTAATA